AGAAATCTGAAGATGTGATCTTCAGGTTTTTTAGGTGTTTGCTTCGACTTTTTGGTATAGCCGAGGCTTTTGCCTTAACGACTTTTTATAATAATTCAGACTTTAAAGTTTCTGCTCATTTTTATTTTCTCTTCTATTTTGTCTTTGAGGGATCTGATTGACTGATTTCATTTTTCAGAAGCCTTAAGCTCCGAGAACAGTATATCTTGACCCTTATAATTCATTCGAGGGAACGACTATCCGAAGCATGATGCCAGGGCAATGATCTATCCGAAGTACAATGCTTCATTAGGCAATACTTCGGAGATACAACAATGGTTTGTTCGAAGTACAATGCTTCATTAGGCAATACTTCGGGGGTTTATCAGTTCCTATTTTTTAGGCAATGTTTCGGATGCGCCTATGGCCTCTTTTCCCGGAGGAACTGATTCATCTGAAGTACAATGCTTCATTAGGCAATACTTTGGGGGTTTATCATTTATCCTCGTCTCGGTAGGTTTTACGGCTTGCCGAAGTATGCTGCCTCATTAGGCAATACTTCGGGCAGCACAACAGAAAACCTTGAATTTTTTCAAAAACCATTGAAGACAGAAAAAATAGAAAATTGCTAAATTTATGGAAATGTTAGCTCAAAGGCCTTTCATTAATCAGAAAGATGCGCTTAAATAGATTGTTCTTCCTCGAAGGGCTTTACACATGATATTTCTTAAGTACATCGACATTCTAGTGGTTTCTGAACTCAGTTCCATCCAACTGCCGAAGTCGGTATGTTCCTGGCTGAAGCTCATCAAATATTTTGTAGGGTGCCTCCCAAGTGACTGAGAGTTTCCCATGAATGCAGCCTTTTTGCACAGCTGCAGCATTCCTAAGAACAAGATCCCCAACTTTAAGAAGTCTTGCATTGACTCTTCGGTTGTAAAATTTGCTGATTCTTTTCTTGCATGCAGCCATTCTGTCTCAAGCCGAATCTCTGACCTCGTCTAAAAAGTCAAGGGACTCTTTCATAAGTTGTTCGTTTTCTTCGGCTGAGAAGAAATTTACTCGCACAATTTGTGAGCCAATTTCCACTAGAAGAACAGCTTCGGATCCATACACTAATTCAAAAGGTGAATGTCCCGTTGCCTTTTTTTCTATTGTCCGAAGTGACTAGAGGGTTCCTAAAAGTTCCTTTATCCACTTGGACTTTTGATCTTCAACTCTCTTCTTGAGAGCGTTGAGGATCTGTTTATTTGCAGCTTCGGCTTGACCATTACTCTTTGGTGACAAACTGCAGAATATGCCAATTTAATGCCAAACTGGTCAGTGTACCGCCTTAGTGGCAAATTATCAAATTACCTCCCATGATCAAAGACAAAGACCTTCGGACTTCCGAAGCGAGTGATAATGTTTTGCCAGATGAATTTCCTCACGGTTTGCTCTATGATGTTTGAGGCTGCTTCGGCCTCGATCCATTTGCTAAAATAGTCGATGCCGACTATTAGCCATCTTTTTTGGTATGGAGCATCAGGAAATGGTCCCAAGATATCCAGTCCCCATTGAGAAAATGGAAGTGGATTCAAGATCGGCTGGAGATCCCGAGCTGGCCGATGGATGACTGGTGCGAATTTTTGACATTTTCTGACCAGCTCCTTAGCACCTAGGATCATGGTGGGCCAATAATACCCAGCCCTTAGCGCTTTATGGGCTAAGGCTATTCCCTCAATGTGGTTGTCGCAGATACTGAGATAGATCTCCCGAAGGATGTAATCAACATCTGTTGGTCCCACGCACTTTAATAGTGGGGCTGAGAAGGATTTTTTCAGTAACTCTCCTCTAAAGACGATGAACCTTGAGCTTGTTCTCTTCAGTTTAGAGGCTAAGTTTCTGTCTTCGGGAATCTCTCCCCGAAGCTTATAAGCTTGGATGAGGTCCATCCAGCTCGGCTCGTGTGTGATGCAGCATATTTCAGGTGCTTCATCCACACTTTGTTCTCGGAGCACCTCCACATATACAAATCGGTTCAGCTTAGTTAGAGTTGAACTTGCAAGTTTGGAGAGTGCGTCGGCTTGTGCGTTCTGACCCCTTGGGATCAGCTCGACTTCAAAAGTTTTTAGCTTCGCAATAACTGTTTTGATCCTTGCAAGGTAAGTTATCATTGAGGGATCTTTGGCCTCATATTCACCTCAGATCTAATTTGCGACGAGCTGAGAGTCTGTCTTTAAACAGACATGTTCGGCTTCTAATGATATGCACATTTTAGGCCAGCCATTGCTGCCTCGTATTCGGTTTCATTATTTGAAGCTTTAAATGAGAATTTTAGTGCATATTCAAAGGACTTTCCTTTGGGCGAGGTTATGAGTACACTTGCCCCGAACCATTTACGGTGGAGGATCCATCCGTGAAAACAGTCCATATTTTCTTTTCCTCGTCCAGTGTCTCCTGGTAAGAGCACTCGGCCAGGAAGTCCGCCAAGGCCTGGGCCTTAATGGTTGCTCTCGGCTGGTAGCTGATGCTAAATTCGGTGAACTCGAAAACCCACTTTGCTAGCCTACTAAAATTTTCAACTTTGCCGAGAACGTTTTCCAGCGGCTGATCAGTTAAGACCACTATTTGATGGCAATCGAAATAGGGCCTCAGCTTCCAAGCAGCTACCACTACTGCATATGCAACTTCTTCGAGTAGGGGGTAGCGAGTCTCGGCATCCGTCAGAGTGTGACTGACGAAATATATCGATTGCTGGACTTTTTCTTCATCCTTTAGCAAAACCGCGCTTATAGTGGCTGGGTTAACTTCCACGTATAAGTATAGAGTTTCTCCTTCGGTTGGTCTTGCCAACGTTCGGAGTTGAGCCAGATGCTCACGGAGTTGCTTGAAGGCTTCTTTTTGCTCATCTTCCTAGATGAGCTCTTTAGATTTTAGGTGTTTCAGCGCTTTGAAGAAGGGTAACCCTTTGTCCAAGGCTTTAGAGATGAACATGGACAGGGCAGCCATTCTCCTAGTGAGACGCTGAACATTCCTCTTTGTTTTTGGCTCGGGAGGATCCAGAGCTACTTGAACTTTGGTAGGATTGGCATCAATCCCCCTTTTGCTGACCATGAAGCCGAGGAATTTGCCTAACTTCACGCCGAAGACACACTTCTTTGGATTCAGCTTCATTTGAAGTTCTCTAAGGGTGGCGAAGGTTTCGGCCAGGTCCGCAACATGGTCTTTGTCTTCTTTGCTTTTGACGATAGAATCATCAACATAGACTTCCATGTTACGGCCCTTTTGCTCAGCGAAGACCCGATCAACAAGCCTTTGATAGGTTGCCCTCGTATTTTTCAATCCGAAGAGCATCATTTTAAAGTTGTACACCCCAGCACTTTTAACGAAGGTCGTTTTTGCTCGGTCGTCGGGATGCATGAAGATCGGATGATACCCCGAGAATGCGTCCATAAAAACTAAGCAGGGCATGCCCACTTGTTGAGTCGACTAGCTGATCGATCCTCGGCAAGGGATAAAAGTCGTTTGGACAGGCCCTATTTAAGTCCGTGAAGTCAATGCACATTCTCCAGGTGCCATTTTCCTTCTGAATCATCACCACATTGGCCAACCATTCTGGATACTGGCAAGGTTTAATGAAACCTGCATCCAGAAGTTTCTTGACCTCAGTTGTGATGTCTTGGTTCTTTTGGGCGGAGTAATTCCGCTTCTTTTGCTTCACTGGCTGACATGTGGGATCGACATTAAGCTTGTGAGAGATGAGGTTCAGATTAATCCCGGGCATGTCTGTAGCCGAGAAAACGAACACATCCCTGTTGTCTCGAAGGAGATGGATAAGCTCAACACGGTCGCTCGGATCAAGTCCTAGCCCAATGCTGACACATTTTTCAGTATCCCCTTCGACCAACTCTATTGATTCATTCTACTGGTCCAATTCCATAGCTTTGGAACTGGACTCTTCGCGATCTGGCCTACTGTCGATATCAGCATGCTTTCCAGACTTCGGCTGATGCTCCGAGTCTTTCGGCCCAGATGACGAATCAGCTTTTTCTTTCCCGAAAGATTTTTCTTTTGATAGGGTGCCTTGGGCCGAAGCACTTAAGCCCTTGGACTTTTTTGTTCATCGGTCCTTTTCTTTTTCCTACTCATCATCCTTGTCGCTGCGACGACTTTTGGATGGCTTGAGGTGGTTGCATCTTCGGGCCTCCTTCTGGCTGCCCTGAAATCTTTCAGAGTGTCCCTCGTCCTAAACATATATCATTATCTGATGGTACGTCGAGACAACTCCTTGAATTTCGTAAATTATGGGTCTCCCCATAATCACGTTATACACAAATAGAACATCTATGACCAAAAACTTGTCCATAATGTTACGGGCTGCTCGGCCTCTGCCGATGGTGACAGGAAGTAGAATCTTCCCATAAGGATATGATGAAGAGCCATTGAACCTAGATACCGGGAAGGGTACTGGAGTCAGGTGCTTGGTCTCCAACTTTAGCTGGTCGAATGCTCCCCGAAAGAGGATATTCGCACCACTACCACCGTCGACGAGAGTTTACCAAACGTTGTGGTTAGCTATGCCCGTTACCATTACCAGCGGGTCATCATGAGGGTACACCACCCCCCGGCAGTCTTCGGCTGTGAACGTGATGTTCGGCACCGGAGACTGGGGTCCTCGGATGTCTACATGATTCACTTGATGGGTCAAGCCCCTCAAGTGGCATTTTACCGCTCTTCGAGAACAGGTTCCTCCGGAAATGACAAGGATATCAGGATTTTCCTTGTCTTGCGGCTTTTCCTTTTTCCAAAGGAAATCCAGATCTTGCCGAGAATCTTTCTCAGCTCTTTTTTCCTCGCTGTGATCCGCGAGGTATTTTTTCAAATAGCCTTTTCGGACCTGATCCTCGATCGGATCTTTCAGCTGGAGGCAGTCCTCGGTATGATGTCCAGGAGATTCATAGAACTCGCACCATCGGTCTTTGCCCTTCTGCTAATGCCACGGTGGGAGTGGTTTAGGCTTCTTGTACCTCCCCTCGTCCTTAGTTATTGCTATAGATTTTAGCACGTGGAAGGGCGAGAGGAGTGTACGATTCAGACCTCCCTATATAGGGGGTCTTTTCTTTCTTCGACTCAGGTGCCGAGGATGATTCTGAGGCTTTCGCCTTCCCCTTCCTTTTTCCCTGACAGTCAGATTGGGACTTTGTGTTGTTCCATTCTTTAGCCCGGATGTATTTATCCGAGGCATCTAGAGCTTCTTCCAAGGTCTGCGGTGGATGCATGACCATGAAGTTTAGGAACTTTCCAGCTTGTAGGCCATTCCGCAACGCGAAAACTGCTAGCCCTTGGTCTAGACTTATAATTCTAGATGACTCGTTACTGAAGCGAGTCATACAGTCTTGGAGGCTCTCGTCCTCTTTTTGTTGTAGACTCATAAGTTCCGCATTTGTTTTCTCTCGGCGATTTGCCGTAGAAAACTTGCTCTTGAATTTGTTGGAAATATCTTTCCAACCGGTTATTAAGCCTTCTTTCACCCCCTTGGTGATCCATGCTTGAGCAACCCTCTTGAGGGTGATTGGGAAGTACTTACACCAAGTTGCTTCAGACCTGGGGTTAAGGTACATGTGCCCCTCGTAAGAGGCAATGTGGTCCTTCAGGTCCAAAGTACTGTCATAAGTGATGTGCGCCGGGATTTTCACCGTCGGCACATGCTCTTCCAATATCCAGCTTTGGAAGGGTGAAATTTTAGGAACCATAATGGCTTTCCCTTTCTGTCTAGCCGAAATGACCTTGCTTTTCCCTCTTAGAGAGGTGGAAGTGGTTTTCGTCCTCGGCTGAGACAGTTTTGAGTAGGGCCCGGTTCTCTCCGGGTAGGTGAGGCGACTATGCACAACCACCTCCCTTGAGCCTAGACGTTCGTGAACGTTTAGGCGAGCAGGCTCTTGCCACTCTGAGGTGGTATTGCTGCTTTTATAACTCCTGGAGTCCCGGGTTTTGGAATCTCTAAAGAATTGGGGGTTCTTTTTCCTTTCCCGCTTGGTCCTCTAGGTGTCCTCCTCCCATTTTTCCCCAAGCTCCTTGAAGGACGGAGTTTGTTCACCCCCTCTCGGCCAGTCCTCCTTCTCAGGTTACTTGGCGGAAGAGGTGAGTGATCATGGGATGCTAGTGGAAGGTTGCCTCCTTGGGCCTTCATGAATTCCATGACGACCGCAATGGCTCTTGCCACTTCCTCCGTAGAGGGCCCCGATTGAGAAGTTGTTCTTGGTTGAGACCGAAAATGTAAGCTTTGTGGAGGGGGACTCTTTATGTTTGATTGACTCGGCCGAGACGAGCTTGTCGGCTGGCGAGTATGATAGGACGGGGACTTCTCTGAGGCTACCCCCTTCGGGGAGGAGGGAGCTTTCGAAGAAGAGGAAGAATTTTCCAATGATGGTGAAGTTGGTGGATTCATCATCATCGTAATAAGATCTCTCCTCGAGGAGGAAGGATCGTTCTTCTTAGTGCTCTTGGCACCTTTACCACTCTTAGTCATTTTTTGCTAAGATTGGATGATTTTTGGTTTATTTTGATGTATCTTCCCCACAAACAGCGCCAAATTATTTCGGTATGAAAACAATAGGACCTTCGACAGGCCCTTTTCGATAGGAGAAGGCTGAACTGGGCCGAGGATTTCCTGCACAACAAACACATGTAAACTAGCCTTGGGGGTTGTGCCAAGGAAGGCCCCTCCGATGCTAAAGTCAGTTTAGTGTATTGAGAGATAAGCTATGCAAGAGAATTAATTATTTGAGGCTGATCGTGAATGAATGTAAGAGGAGACAATTGAAGGCTTTTATACCTTTGCTCAAACTAGGAGAACTGGGCCCTGAAGTCAGATGGGCTTGCCATGCTGACCGGGCTTGGCTGACTTAGCATGCTTTTGGAGAGTTGAACCTTGCTTTGGGCTTTTGTAATTCAATCATTTGGACCGGCCCAATTAGGATGACTGAATTGGACCCAAACAACCCTAAACCACTAACTTCTTCTTGCCATTATCGAAATCTTACCCAGAAATTGTAAAGCCTGCATGTTCGAAGCTCCACCACCAGCCGCCGCAAATCGCTAACCACCGAACCCACCAACCACCGGATTTCTAGCAACAAATCACTAACCACCGAACCCACCAATCACCGTATCCACCAAGCACTGCATCCACCAACCACAACTTGAAAGTCATCGTCATCTTCGTGGTGACATTGGAGATGCTGCTAGAGCTCCGGTGTGAGCTTGAGCTATGGAGGAGACCATGAGGAGAGAGAAGATTGTTGCGATGATTGCTCCCACCATTGTTGATTTGATGAAGAAGATGGTGAAATTGAAGATGAAGTTGAAGAATCTAGAGATTGTTGATTTGATGAAGTTGAAATGGGTTGTTTCTGCTGCAATTATTGACTTTGATAAAGTAAAAATAGGCTGCCACACAAACTAATGGGTGCAGACTGCCGCACCCAATAGTTTGTGATTTTTTTTTTGTGAGAAGAACACACCTTAATTAGATTTAGGAAATTTTGCAAATAAAATTACACCACAAAATAGGAAAAAATTTGATTATAACACCACAAAATCTCAAAATTGGATTTCACCACCACTTAACGAATCTTTGGATGGAATCCGTTAGTGGGGCCCACCATACATACGTGACACTCATTATTGTTTTAAAATAATAAAAAAAACCTAAACCCTAATCCAGCCCCAGCCCCACCATCGGAACCTCTACCATCCACCGCCGGCAACCCCTGTCCCATCCCATCCCCACCATGAGCACCCCAGCTGTTTCGGGGTTTTTTTGATGTCCTGCGGGAGAGTTACAATTTCGGGACTAGTATCCTAGTGCCTGTACCTGCAAAACAACGGAGACTCCGGGTGGTGGGAGCTCCGCCTCCGACGATCAAGTTAGTACTTGTTTGAGGAGTAAAAGGTGCAGAAAGTAAAGGTGATATGGTTCCTCTGAGGGGAGGAATGATTAAGGTGTGCAATTAATGCTAAGTCTGGTCTAGCAATTAGTATGCACGTTGGAATAGTTTTCACTTGGTGAGATGATTTTGTCGTTTAATGGAGGCTAATTACCTGTTTATATAGCCTCGAAGTACGTGCCCAATACTAGGTTAATTGGTAAACCTAGGACTGATTGGGCTTGCCTCGGGAATCGGGCCTGTGATGGCCGTTTTCCAGGTTGGCAGATTATGGGCCACATGGCGTGGCCTGATTAGTCCATGTTGGACCTCTCAGGGTGACAAGTGGCAGACGCTGATTGGCCCACATGGTGGATATGTGGCAGGTCCGTATTGGTCCATTTGTCATGGGTAATTTTACCCTAAACATTTGCCCCTCGGAAGGAATAATCTCTCATTCTAGAAGGGATTGTTCCTTTCGAAAGTTAGACCCTCGAAGCTTGCTGGGTCGGCATCTTGTCCAGTTCTAATGGGAGATGGACTTGATTAACTTAGAAAATATTGATACCTTGGGCGGTATGACATTTTCAAAGTTAATCAATCATAATAATGATTGCCGCCAAACTAGACAGATGTCGATTCTTTGCCCCACTATGCAGATAGCCCCTGATCAGGTGGACTGTCAACTATTGCACAGGAGTAAGCGTTTAACATTATCGATTCTTTTGATTCAATATACTAAGTTTGGTACTTAGTTTATTTCGTTGGGAGATGGCTGGTCGTCTTTGGTGGCTGCATAGAAGCAGGCGTCAGACGGGACGTCCAACCAAAGTAGCTACGCCTGTTGGGTTACAGACGACAGCTTTAAGTATAGCCAACCTAGTAAGAATAGTGGTCGAGTACCTCTGTTTTCCAAAAAACAGGCGGACTCCTCATACCTTTTAGGTTCCGTACTAGGTTGGTTAAGTGACTATGAGGTAACCTTGGGGTTCCCCTGTCTCTGTCACTTGGGTTTGAGTAGTAGAAGAATCAAGCAGCTTAGGCCGGGTGGTTTTGCTAGGTGTGCCGACTAGCATTGCATGGAGGTGGCCGGCTGTTATTTCATGCTTAAGCATAGATGCTCATACTCGGCCTTACTTATGATCGGTTTCAATGGCCGGTTGTTTTGAGCCACCCGAGTGTTATGAATTTATAACGCCTATTTGGGCAATAGAGCTAATGCCCAGCTTTTCATAAAAATAGCCATGATAATTTGAGATTCAAGAATCACAGTTTGAGCTTTTACATGTGGAGCATGCCGGCTGCTTTCGTGATTACGAGTCTCCGTTTGCGAGTGCCGCCTATTATAATAATGTCAATCATCCTTAGCCTATGATGGGGGCCGCTTGCAAGTTGTGAGTTATATACTCTTGGGCTCATAAATTTTGGCTTGGATGATCACTCATAATCGTAACAACTGAATGCCGCCTGACTCTTTGCATTAGTCTTACGTGATCATGCGTGTAGGCGGCTTTCCCAATATTTCTTGTCTTCTCTTTTTAAAATAATCATAATAATGATAGTGGTAGCTTAGAAAGGCTATGAAACCATGATAATGATACCACCATACATTCGGTATGCCGTTTGATTATGACAAGGAGCTTCGCGGTTAGTTTATGACAACCAAGGCAAAATTGTTTCGGACACCATTAACAACTAAGGTGGGCAGCCGGCAGAAGAGAGCCTGAGTTCAACATTTTACTTGTATTTTTCTTGAGTTTGAGCTCATGCCTTTTCAATGAAATGCCGGCTGTTTTTAAATTCATGAGGGTGCCGCGTCGAGGGAAATGCTCATGTCTGCTAGTTGCAATTACACGCTATGTATTTTATGTATACATAGTCGAATGTGGTTTAGAGCCGCTTGGGCAGTTGTTGGGAACCTTTAGATGTCGGCTGCTCATGGCCAAGTGCTTTACTACGAACCATGCGGCCATTGAAAGTATCCATAGCTCTTGCTTTCAAGGTTTGAAGTAAGCTTCGCCGGGTCGTCTCGCTTGGGCGCCTCTTCTCTCGTGATAAGGCTGGTTGTTTAGGAAGTTGATTGTTTCATTTTCCACCATAATGGCCGCCCAACATATAGTTAAAAAACAATGAGGGGCATTCAAACTCTTTACTACCGACCTCGGCACATACATGCTGCTTGTGATGACACCTCAATGGTGGATGAGCAATAAGGACCGCCTGTTTTAATTATGGTTGGACGTCTGGTTGGATGCTGGGTAGGCTTTGGAACTGAGGCCTCGCTTTAGTTGACGTTAATGTCGGCTGCTCAAGGATATGCACCCATGCTTCGAACACACTTGCGAGCGCTTGCAGCCGGCTGTTTTAACTTGGCTTGCTGCATTAAGTGCCACCTGTTTAACATGGCTGGCTGCATTGGTTGCAAGGGCCGCCTGTTTTAACATGGGTGGCTTCTTATTGCGGCTGCTTTTAAGGTCACATTCAAGGCCATCACACACATTAGGTAGTGTATCGAAAACCGCCTCCTTGTTAAGTTTACACGAGGCTACCTTGGAAGATCATAGAGTCGGCTGCATTGAGGCAATTTGAGCTGGCTGCCGCCTGTTTTTAACTCGGCTGGCTGCCTTTTGCTTGTACCGCCTGAATGCTCATGTGTTGTTCTTGGTTTCTTTATATGAGCACCTAAGCACATGAAAATATAGAGTGCCTTTCGACTCGTCAATGGGGGCGCTTGTCACTTAGAACCGGTACAGACTGTGATGCCATCTCGAAAGTACTCTCCCCACATACGGCGCCAAATGTTTCGGGGTTTTTTTGATGTCCTGCGGGATAGTTACAATTCCGGGACTAGTATCCTAGTGCCTGTATCTGCAAAACAACGGAGACTCCGGGTGGTGGGAGCTCCGCCTCCGACAATCAAGTTAGTACTTGTTTGAGGAGTAAAAGGTGCGGAAAGTAAAGGTGATCTGGTTCCTCTAAGGGGAGGAATGATCAAGGTGTGCAATTAATGCTAAGTCTGGTCTAGCAATTAGTATGCACGTGGGAATAGTTTTCTCTTAGTGAGATGATTCTGTCGTTTAATGGAGGCTAATTACCTATTTATATAGCCTCGAAGTACGTGCCCAATACTAGGTTAATTGGTAAACCTAGGACAGGGCTTGCCTCGGGAATCGGGCCTGTGATGGTCGTTTTCCAGGTTGGCGGATTATGGGCCACATGGCGTGGCCTGATTAGTCCATGTTGGACCTCTCGGGGTGACAAGCGGCCGACGCTGATTAGCCCACATGGTGGACATGTGGCACGTCCGTATTGGTCCATTTGTCATGGGTAATTTTACCCTAAACACCAGCGTACCGCCCATCACCAGTGAAATTCGTTCGAGTCAACCACCGACACAACGCTCCGTCCACCTTAACCCAACCTTGAAACACCCCAGCCCAGCCACCACCAAAAATCCGACGCTTAAACCTTAACGATCGAAAACCTCCAATCCTTTAACCTTTCAACCTCAAAGTGGTCGAAATTGACCATGGAAACCCAGAATGGTTGATTTCAATGGTTAATTTGGTCGTTTCAAGGGTGGGGGAAATAGGGGTGGTTTTTCACGGTGGTGGCTGGGGTTGAGGTGTTTTCGGTTAGGCTAGGGTGGTACGTCGGCTTCGGTAGGTGAGGAAGAAGTATCGGCGGCTGGGGGTTGGGCTGCCGGCATTGGCAGTGGTGGTGGTGGGGTTGGTTTGGGGTTAGGGCTGGGTTAAATTTTGGATTTTTATTTTTTAAAATTTTCCTTCTTTTTTAACCAATAATATAGTGACATGTGGCAACATGGACTCCACTTAACCGGATTCCATTCAAAAATCCGTTAGGTGGTGGTGATCGAAATCAATTTTTTTTTTTGTGGTATTATAATAAATTTTTATTTTTTCATTTATTACTTTTGTGGTGTTATAACCCAAATTGTGACTTTTTTGCATTGTGGTGTTAATTTGCAAAATTCTCTTAAATTTATTTTTGCGAGACATCATATTATCTTGGTAGTTGACCTTGTATTTCGACATTAACTTGGTCCTATGCCCCTCATGTGATCTCACAAAACAACATTTTTGTATTTCCCTACATTCCTCTTGCTCTCCAATTAATCCTATTGTCTATATATATTGTAATGTGACAAATTATTATGAATGAGAAATACAAAGAAGTATTTGAGACTAATTTAACAGCCTTAATATATTTATTTGAGAAGAACACACCTTAATTAAAATTATTTATTTGCGAGACATCATATTATCCCAAATTCTGGTAGTTGACCTTGTATTCCAACATTAACTTGGCAAATTTTCCTATTTCTTTTTTTTTTTTTTGTTTTTTTTTTTTTTTTTTTTTTTTTTTGTAACTGAAAGATTAACAAATGAGTTCTTGAATAAATTAAAGGGAAGCATCTATTTATCTATTACATACTACTAAAGGTGAAACTAAATGGCACACTTGGCAACTTATTATTAACAAATTTCCCTCCAAACTAATTTGCTTACAGTAATTCATTGCTACATGGAAATAAATTTTGTACATAAATTATGACTTACACTTTATATAAAATCTAAAGTAAACATCCTATTATATTAAATTAGATAAAACCCATGCGATACACGATTTGTTTTTATTTTTTAACATACATATTTTATGTATTTATGTGACTAATTTTTATTTATTTTATTTGTTGTACGTTTTAAATCATTTACTATATTTATTTTAAAATAAGTTTTTGAATTTCCTCTCATTCGTTTAAATTTAGATAAAATTCGTAATTTTAAAAGATTTTATATTTTATAATTAATTAAAGTAAACTCTAAAATCTTATTCACCAATTTTCCTTATGATGTATTTAAATTTAATTCTAAAAGAAATTACAAATCTCTTATTTAATTGGCTAGAACTAAAATTTATAATCATACATGGCGTGTTAAGAAATTTTAATCCAACATGGCTCTAAAACCTTGGGAAAAAATTCCTCTTCATCATAGCATATCACTAATAAATAATGCCGATCTCGCAGCCAGGCCACGAGATAGCGACATTTGGCATTCCAGTTTTTGCCAAGTGTCGCGTCACGTAGGTGACAAATATGTATTATTGTGACACATATGATGCTAAGTAAGTGATTTTTAGATAGATTTTTAAGATAAAAATGTTGTATAGAGTTTTATTATCACTATACTTCTAATATTTCGTATATATAAAATTAATCATAACTTTTAGTAAATATCATATAACTCGGTTTTATTTCGATCATAAAATTCGTTTTAATTTTTTTTTAAAATAAGATCCATTTATGATATATTTAATTTATTTAGTTAAAAACATAATAGAGAATCAGTAAAAATAAGTGTTAATCAGTAAAACCAATTTTGGTTCGGTAAAAATACTTTCTGTTCAGTAAAAATAATTTAAGTTCAATAACAATAATTTGAAGTCAATAACAACATAGATATCTATTTACAAAAAAAAACTGCAAAAAATACACTATTTTATAAATAAGAGATAAAATATCGTATGTCTACATATTTTGCATTATTATCGAAAGGGATTACATTTTCATATTTAACGTTCAAGCCAAAAAATTCATACTAAAATTTTATCAACAATTCGAGCATCGCCTGGACACAAAACTAGTCATTAATAAATAAAGTCGGTCTCGTAGCTAGGCCACAATAAGACAGTGACACTTGGCATTCCAGTTTTTCGCCAAGTGTTACGCAACATAGGCGATAAATTGGTATTATTGTGATACATATGATGCTAAGTAAGTGAAGTTTGGATATATTTTTAAGGATAAAAATGTTGTATAGAGTTTTATTATCGATATATTTCTAATACTTCATATATACAAAATTAATCATAACTTTTAATAAATATCTTATAACTCGGTACTATTTCCATCATAAAATTCGTTCTAAAAAGTTCTTTAAAATAAGATCCATTTATAATATATTTAATTTTACTTACAAAAATAACAGAGAATTTGTGAAAATAAGTTTTAACCAGGAAAAATAATTTTAGTTTTGGTAAAAATACTTTTGTTTCAGTAAAAATAATTTCAATTCAATAAAATATAACTTCAGTTTAATATGTCTAAATACCCTACATTATTAAAAGGGATTATAGGACCATTTAAGCATTCAATCCAAAAAGTTTATCCTAAACTTTTATCAACTATTTGGGCATCACCCGGGTGCAAAAACTGGTAACTAATAAATAAAATTGGTCCTAGCTCACAGCCAGGCCACGAGACAATGACACTTGGCATTCCAGTTTTTCGCCAAGTGTTGTGCCACATAAGCGACAAATAGGTATTATTAAGTAAGCGAATTTTGGATAGATTTTTTAAGATAAAAATGTTGTATAGAGTTTTTTTTTTTTTTTTTTAATCTATATGCTTATAATATTTCATATATACAAAATTAATCATAACTTTTAATAAATATTCCAAAACTTGATTTAATTTCCATCATAAATTTGTTTTAAAAGGTTCTTTAAAATAAGATCCATTTATAATATATTTAATTTTTTTTAAAAAATAATAGACAATCAGTAAAAATTAGTTTTAATCCGTAAAATTTTATCAACTATCTGGGCATTACTCGGACACAAAACTTGTATATATATTAGATTGTCCATGACAATAACAACAATTACATGTTTAATTATTTTATCTCGCGTGTTTTTTTTTTTTATTATTTGAATATACTTCATAATTTTTAATACTTAATTAGTCGATTTATTATATTTTATACCCCCTTTTTTTTTGTAAATAATACTGACTTATTTTACTTTAGTCCTCATATTAAGAACTCTTTTTTTTTTTGCATTTTTCCACCAAAAAAAGTAAATCAGTTGTGAGATTATAGCTACGAAGTACAAGTAGTAATAATTCTAATATTTAAGATATATAGTTGGTCAAACATTTACATTGTCATATTTGCCTAACAGAAATGGATCACTTGTTAAAAAAATAGTGGACAGTATAACATATTAATGAGTATTAAACTACCAATATTTTTTCTTATAAGGGGCCCTTATTTCTTACTTTGCCTAGGGTTCATAAAATGTCAAGTACGGGGTTTGAAATATCAAAGAACGCAAGCCAACTACTTGTTCTAGCTAGCTTGACCTAGCTCTCAAACATTGTACTAATATTTAACTACTCAAACAGACAAACACTCAACTTGAGTCGCATCATTTTACAAAAAGGAAAATAAAAGTAATTTATAGATACATAAAGAGTAATGGCAATACATAAGGTGAAAACATGGAGTAGAAACATTATAAGTTAGTGATACAAAGATGGTGAAATAGAATCCATAAAAGCTGTGTATTATAATGTAATTTATATTCCTGAATTCTTGCTTGAAGATGGGTGGTAGCATAAGAAAGTGTTGTAGCTTTCCATTTGGGCATTGCAATCAGGGCAAACCATAGTTTTAGAAGGCTTGGCAGGAGCTGGGAATTCAATACGTCGGTAAGGAAATTCCTGTTGATAACGCTTACGATAATGACTTTCAAATGCTACCTCAAACGCTTTTTCGGACGCATTTTCTTTCCAAAGCTCAAAATCTTCAAGGGTAGACAATGCCACTCCGCCATGCCCTATGACCCAGGCAAATAGATCACATACTATTACCCAGCCAACATTGGATTTTTCATAGTGAAACAACCTTTGAAGGTCTTGTAGAATGACAAAAGCATGGTCACCTACATTCGTGTGATTTCTCAAAGAGGATATCATGCTCTCTATTCTAACCCAAAAATAACTGTCTTCAACTTTAAACTGTTTTGGGTACCCTTCATATAAAACCCTCCATTTTATATAATTATCCTCATTTCTCCCTACTTGGACGACCTTATTCATTATATATCCCCAATGTTCAACTTCACCTACTGCGCCTAATAATCTCAGGATCCAGTCTTTATTATCACCTCCATATATAAAATAGCATTTGTTGCCATCCGATGAAAGTGTCCTTGCTGTTTCGCAAGGGTACTTGCTTAAAGAAAAAAAACAAAAGAACTGTTCAGAATAAACCAAAAGCTTGCCGCGTTAAACTAAACACAATGCACTATCCAACAACGTTAGAATGCACATATGGCCCCCAATCAAATCATTCGTGAACTTTATAAGGTTTAAAAGGTCCTTTATCCCTGAAATAGAGTAAGAGCAGATTAATATGCAATTGATGGCCTATTTCTTTCATTTTATTTAACTAATTACTTCCTCTTGGTTTTTTTGTTACTGGTAAACATTTTTGTTTTTCACATTTATCAAATGTATAATTTCAACCGTTAATATCTCGTGTTAGGCATTTATAAAATTGTACAAATTTAATAAATTGCATATATATTAAGATGGATCTCATGTCTATATTGAGATGGATTCAATCATATAAGATTTACTTAAAAATTACTTCCTCTGTTTTTTAATACTTGCAACACTTCTATTTTCACGCTTGTCAATGCACTATTTCAATCATTAATATTTTTAATTACTAATGTGTAAAAATTATAAATATTGATATCATAGAAGTTTAAATCAAGACATGCGTATATAACAAAATCCCACATGAATATAAATTTCCTAACCGATAAATCACCAAAGCTAATCAAAGTGAGATATATGAATAGTGTAAAAGTCAAATTGTTGCAAGTAAACAAAAAGCGAAGAAAGTATGAGGCACAAAAATTATATTTGCTCGATTTCATATTGCTATTATATGAGAAGGCTATGGTTTGTGAAATTTGGGCTATGAAAAGGGTTTGGACTAAGGGAAATCAGACAATTCTCGGGTTGGGATACGCAACCCAAACAAATGGTAGTGAAAGATTACTCATCATCGAATTTGGGCCAAGGAGACACAACTATGTGTCTACAATCATATATGTGTTTAACACAATGTATGCTCATTTGATCAAAATATTAGGTAACAAAAATACTCTATGACTTCTTTTGAAAAAAAAAGGTAAAAGTATCTCCAAAATGTTTTACTGTAGTATAGTTATAGATTATGCATTTGGAAAAAATATAATAATTAATTTTAAATAAATGCATATAGAGAGTTTGAGACCAATTAAATTTAATAAGATCTTGTATGACAATTTTTTTTTTTTCATTTAAGTATAAATAATAAAATATGATTGACATAGAGTATGTAAATAGTGTGCACAACTAGTAGAAATGTTGCAAGTTAAAAAAAAAAATGCAACACCTTTGTCGCACAATTTTTAGGAGTAATTGATTAGAGTAGGTCAACAGTGACTTTTTCAAAATAATTTGAGCATCAAAATTAGAGTGGAATTAGACGTGTATAAATTATTTTGATTAATTTTTTCAGTTTATATAGCTTAATCTCTTTCTGAAAGTGCGTACCAAAAAGGTGTGTTTATTTATAAGAAAACAGAGGAAGTATATTGATAGATTATGGAAATAATCTATTTATGTTGATAATATTTTTGTATTTTAATTAATCTTGTATTTATCTAGTTTAACCTAGCTTAGCCAATTGTAATTTGTATATATATTGCTTTGCAATTGGTGAAAAGGCCACGACAAATATTCTTATATGGTATCACGAGTCTAGGTTTTCTTCTTCTCTCTTCCGCAAAACCCTAATCTCTTCTTTTTCTTCTTCCCTGTTTTCATTCGGCACCTTCATCCACCATGGCTCAAAATCCAAAGATTCACCCCGCAACCCTTAGCTTGTGATTAACATCAAAACATGTATCCTCATTGCTCTTGATTATGATGGTACCTAATTCAATAATTGGTCTACTTTATTCAAGCTTCACGGCCGTGCTAATATGGTCATTGACCTTAGCTTATTATTCCCCCTAAGGATGCTAAGAAACCAAAGTCTAAGAATGCCAAGCAATCTGTGGATTACAATGCTTTGTGGCAACGACTTGACGATATTGTGCTATAATAGATTTATGGGACCATCTCTAATGATCTTCTCAATTCTATTATTTATCCCGATGACAAGGCGGTTGATACACGGAAACGTTTAGAGAATTTCGATCTTTCACAACAACAACTCTGCTCAAGCATTACAACTTGATGCGCAATTTACTAACGCCAAGCTCGATCAATTCGATGGTGTTAAGCCCTATTGCACTCACCTTAAATACCTTGTTGACAGTTTGAGGAACGTTGGAGATAAGGTAGGTCTCCGATAATCGAATGACATTGCAACTCTTAAAGCTAGGGTCTTTCGGAGGAATACAAACCCTTTCGCACGTCCATTCGTCATATGGACCCGCTACCTTCCTTTGATGCTTTACGTTCCATGTTGGAACTTGAAGAACAAGGTAACACCGCTGATATTACGGTGGAATCTAGTGAGGAATCTCATCTCACTTAATCCTCATCGCCGGTTTCATCTTTGCAGCAGCCCCATGGTAACTCTTCTAGCAATCGTGGTGCATCCCATACGTCTTGCGGTGGCCGGAAAGGAAATAAAGTGAAGGGCAGCCGCAAGACAGGTGGAAATGGCAGCTCCCATGTAGCCGAAGCAACCATCAGCAGCAACAACAACAACCCCAGCAGCAGGGTGGCTCACAACAACAGGAACAAAAGCAACCTGCTCAGGGTTGGATGTTCCCATCTTAGCCTCATTGGAATCAAGGTCCGTGGGCAACTCCACCGTGCCCTAATTCTTCTCAAGGCCCAGGCCCAATGTAGTGGGCAGTCCATCCAAGTCAGTCTAACAGTCAGTCAGGAGTTCTTTGTGTACGCCCTCCTCAAGCCTACTATGTGTTCAATCCTTCTTCGGGTTACATGCCAACCAACATTTAGCAAGCTATGCACACCAAGACTTTGGCCGACCAGAATTACTACATGAATACCGGTGCTACATCTATCACACATGACGAATTCTCAAGGTAACTTGTCGTCATATTTTCCTTTGAGCAAAAATATTAATATGCAATTATTGTTGGTGATTCTAGCAAGGTTCCAATCACAGTTTATGGTCACACTTCCTTAAACTAAAACACACTTCAGCTCAAAAATGTTATTCATGTCCCCAAATTAGTCAAAAATCTCATTTTTGTTAGAAAATTCACTATTGATAACAAAGTGTCTGTTGAGTTTAATCCTTTTGGGTTTTCTGTGAAGGACTTGCTGACGGGGAGAAAAATAGTGACGTGTAATAGCAATGGCGATCTTTATCCTTTCTTCACAAATCGTCAAGTCATTTACACTTCAATTCCGTCGGCTTTTGTAGTTGTTTCTCCTAGTGTAGTAGTGTGTGGCTTTCCCAATATAGGTCATCCGGGAAATGCAATTCTTAGTTCTTTGCGTAGTATGAATCTTATCAGTTGTAATAAGGCTTCAAAACATACTTGTCATTCTTGCCCTTTGGAAAACTTAATGAAAATGTCTTTTTATGATTCTATGTCTTATACCACTATGCCCTTTGATATTGTTCATAGTGATTTATGGACATTTTCAATTGGTAGCTCTCTTGGTCATAAATATTATGTTTTATTTCTTGACAATTACATGAATTTTCTATGGACTTTTCCTATCTCTTCCAAATCTCAAGTTTATAATTTATTTATTCGTGTTAGAACATATATTCGTACTCAATTAAGAGAGAAATAAAAGCTTTCCAATGTGACAATATCGTGAATTTGAAAATGAACCCTTTAAAGATTTTTATCGCAAAAATGGGTGGTTTTTCGCTTCTCATGTCCATATACATCACCTCAAAACGGAAAATCGAAACGGAAAATAAAAACGATCAATAATATTGTTTGTACGCTCCCTTTGAAGGATTTATGTCTTCGTCAAGTGAAATTACTAGATATATCAAGGATCATTATTATGGAGATAATTAGTTCATTCTTTTGGGTAATCATTGTCTGTTGCTAGATATGATAAATGATCTTTGGGCTAGTCAAATAGTTCAAAGGCCAATAGAATGGATCCTATAATTAGGTCACACACAAGGGTTAAGGATTGAACAAAGTATAAAGCCCATTAATGGCCCTCATGAGGTAATGACAAGCCACATAAGAAGTGAGTCTAGAGAAGTTTGGATTAGGTTAGGAGTTCACATGGACAAGACATTAATGGGCTTCACATGGACTCTAATTATATATGAGATATATAAATAGAGGTCTTGCCTAGGTTATACACATAAGCCACAATTAACCCAAGCAGTGAATTATGAAGCAAGCAACAAAACTCCCACCCCTCTCTCTCACACGCCTTTCTCTCTCTCTCTTTCTCTCTCTCTCTCACTCTCCCCTGTCCGTACAGTACGGACGCCGGCCCCCTAGTGGACGCACGGTGGTGGTGGTTCGTTGGTTCATGGCTCGTTCGTTCCTCTCTTCTCCGTAGAAGGTTGATTGAAGGGTTCAATCACAACTAACTAGCATTAATGGAGGTTCAATCTTTGTCCGTGGACCAAGTAGAGGAACCACGTTTGGGGTTCTTGTTCTCCTTATTATTCTTGCTTGATCACTCGTAGTGAAATCACGCTTCAAAGGTATAACTATGTGTTCTTTATGTGTTATGAAAAGATCTTGTTTTTCAATGCTTATGAATATGATTTATGCAATTCCGCTTATAGTATCTAAAGTCCTACAATGATATCAGTTAGCCTCTTGCATTTACGCATATTGATCATAATTCTTTGTTGTCCACAAATTTTATTTCAATTAAGAGGGAGAATAATTTAATTATGGGTCAATTATTATTTTAAGTGGTGATTTAACATATGGAATCATTAAAGATGTTTAATTTGCTCAAATTTTTTCCTAAAATTGGACCGAATTTTGCCCTAGTTGGTTCGAAAAATTCGAATCCCCCTAAATCCTAATTCGAAAATTCCAAAACCCTAAACCCTAAATTTTGATTTTGTGTTTTGGTTTTTGAATTAATTTTGATAGTTCCTAGTTTCATGTATTTAATTTAATTGATTTCATGTATAAATTGTGAATTTTGCATGATCAATAATTTAATTTAAGTGTTAAATTGAATTGAGAA